TGCCGTGGACCATGGGAAATCCATTTTTTTTTTTTTTTTTTTTTTGAGAGGTTTTTTGCTATAGGGCATGTGCACTCACCAGAAAGACAGAGACAGAGAGACAGAAAGCGAGAAATCACCCTCCAGGGGGATGGCCATGCCGCAATCCCTTCTCTCCCTTTCTTCTCTCGGGATCTTGGGCACGCACGCACACGGACCCGGCGTGAGTTTAAGCCTCTGGGTCCGGGACTTGAACCGTAGTCGACCTCATGGGAGTTCAGCGACATAGCCATTACGCTAACTGCTGGTCCCGGCAAATCCATCTTGACACCATTTCCAGTCACATAATGCGGAGTTACTGGATGCACTAGGGTCTGACCTCAGGGAGGTGGGGTACGGGTTGGGGGGATTCATATGTGACAGCCTGAGGCTGAGCATCCTTGGGGTGTTCACCTGCCTGGAGGGGTGTGAGAGCCCCAGAAACTGACCTCCCCATCTAGAAGCTCGCTGGGAATCCCACCATGAGCACACCATGGCTCACCCTCAGAGATGGAGGGGACCTCCAGGTCCCCTAAACCCCAGTTGGTCAGCCCTGGCCACCTGTTGCAATCACCTGGGGGCCTGTGGAAGCTACTGGCCCACCTGCAGGAGTCTGCTGGAAGGGCGGGGTCTTGTACAGCAGAGGGAACCGAGGCCTGGGGAGCAGAAAGGTTACTCGCAGTGGTGACACTGGGTACAGTAAATCAAGGGCCGGTGCTGGCCTTTGGGACCCTGTTCTGTCATCGTGGGACTTTAAGTCGCTGGACCTTCCTCCACGGCGAGATGTGGACAGTCATATACACCTCACGGGGGAATATAGGAGGAATAAAGAATAGGAGACGGAGGTGGTGAGAGCACACAGTAGGTGTCATGGCATGGTGACCTATACTGAGAAAAATCACCTTTGGAAAGGCTGTGTTCGGTGGGCTCCTTACCCCTTTCCCATTCTCTTACCAGGGTTCAGTTGTTGCTGTCCCTTGCCCTGTATCAGCTGCAGTCCTGTCTCCCTACCCGTCCACGCCCTGGGTCCACCCAGTGAATCGCCCTAGCAACCCACCCTGATGTCACGGCAGCTCTGGCTACCAGCCCAGAGCGGAAGCAGCTGGCGGCTGGTTCACGTTTCAGGTAGATCCCATTCCCCACC